TGTCTCCACTGTCAGGATGCGGCAGAGCTGACAGTGGCCACCTAGTTCCCAGCTTTGACATACAGGCCACCTTCTCTGCCTAGTTTTACTATCAGCCTCCACTGCTTTGTGGAGTTTTTCTGCATCTGCAAAGAGAATTCATGGCTTGTTATTGCAGAAGTTCAGAACAGGTAGCAGTAATGGTCTGTGCCAGGCTAAGTGCATTTTTCAGCTTGAGCTGCTGAAAGAGGGCAAGAGCCTTCAATAAATATAGGTGCCACCTACCTGCACCTGAGAATGAATGAGATTTTCCTGACCACAGAAGCAGAGTATCTCAGGAGTCCTGCTGTGCAGGAAAGTCTACCAGAGGAGATGGACCAGCAAAGCTGTTCCTTTGCTGTCCCACCACTCTAGCATGGTTCACATGAGCTGCTATGCTGACAGAGTGGCCCACGGGGACAGGGCAGAGCAAACCTCACAGCTAATGGACTTGTCCTCTTTCGTTGTCTTGTTTGGCTCTCCAGTACGACCCACTAAGATCCCAGAGACAAGCCTTTTAATCAGATCAGGGTCCTAGGTGCAACCTTGTCAGGGATGACAGCTGGAGTTGAATATGCCACTGCTCTTTTCAGCAGCTTTATTCAACTCCAGGACAGGTTTCCTGGAGTGTCCATAACAGAAAGGCTATATGAAGCTGTAGCCTGCTTACCGATTCCTAGGACATTTCGTGGCTGTTCAGCTTGTGTCTGTCTGTCCCCTCTCCTGATTGTGTTTACAGTTATTCCTGTCTCCATTCTCAGTGCTGCACCTGCCTTGCCCAAAATGGTCAAGTGAGTCTCTGTTGCCGGTGTCATTTTTGTCTGAGAAGCGTGACCAGTGAGGGCAGGCATGGGAGCAGTGTTTCTTCTCAGCTGCAATAGGATAGCACTTGTGCTACTGATCTAACTATGTCTTTTGTGATTGTGGTCTCTCTGTCTGACTGTGGACCTTTTCCTTGCTCTTCTCTTTCTTTTCAGACCCAAGTCTTTTTTTTTCAGAATCATCCTTCAGATTAGGTGTGCACCATGTCTGTGCTGTCACTTGCAAGCTCTGCAACTGCACAGGTTAAGACCACTGCTTTTGAGCAAGGTTTTGGTATTTTCAGTTCCTTTGGTGATGTAATAGCAAACAAACAAAATACATGCTGAAACCAAATTTGCTACGAATATCCATGGAGATAAAATATATTTGTGGGTTGATGGAGATGTGTCTAGGTATGGAAAACTGCAACTTTGCATTTCTTGATTTGAGAATTTAATCCCGTTTATCAGTACGTACTGATGTGTATATTAATGCTCAGCATATTCTTATGGGCACCGGAATGAAGGGGAAGTGCAGTCCTTCAGCATCTCAAGACTGTCGCTAATTCCTTGAATGGATTTTTTCTAGAAAATCTGTGTGTCCCCGCGCTGTTTTCTCTTGCCGGGGACTGTTTGCGGTGGCGCTCCCGAGTGCCCGCTCATCCCCTCGGCCAGCTGTTGCCATCTGGCGGCCACCGAGCCGAGCCGCCGGGCTCCTGCGAGCCTTCCAGCGAGGAATGTGTGCCATGATGACTGGAACCAGCGGCAGTCTGGGAACAAACACATGGCAAACTCGCAGATACTTGTCCAACCATCTGCCTTCTCTTGTCCAGTGCTGCCATAATCTGCTGTCACCAGCAGTGTCATTTTTCTGATACAAAAACCTATTAAAAAGGGTATGTATGGCACTGGAAAGCTAACTCCCCCAAATGAACAGTGCTGTTATTTTTCATCTTTTGTTCCTTTAATTTCTCTGATGTGCTACCTAATCTTTCTCTGTTCCTTTTACCTACTTTTGCTTCTGCTTCACATCACCCCTGCCCTCCCACAGGCCGTGTCGTCTGTGTATCTATTGGAGCCTCTGGCACTGGCTCTCTTCCATCAGGCATTGCCTTTATGTACGCAATTCCTTGACCAAGATTTCAGTTAAAATCTTGTACTCCTCACTCTGTCACAAGGGTATTGTGCTTGCTTGCACTGTGTCTCTACGGTATCGCCCTGCCAAAGACCTGTAGGAGCACTTGTTCATGACTTCCTCTGGGCAGGAGGGGCCTTGCAGCACTTGTTCCTTGTACATGGGTGGAAGGAACACCACCCTAAATTCAGCAAGCAGTGAGTTCTGCTGCTTTCCAATCAATCTGAATGAGGCTGGTCTGCCATTAGCATGGTGGGTAGTGGGTTTGTCCGAGGGCTGGTGAGGGGGCTCAAAAAAAAACCAGCCAGAAAGCATAGAGTCAAGATAGACATACAAAGGGGAGTTTTATGTGGAAATAAAACATTTGTCAAAAAATTCTCTGAATACTCTAAAGGCAAAAAACCCTCCCATCCTAGCAATGGATCAAATTCAGGCACTCAGTGTAGCTCGTCCCCTCCCCTTGCTTTTTTGCCTCGGTCATATGGGTCACATTCCCCCATTAACAACAAACAGCATTCACTCTGTCTGTACTAAACCACAGTAGGTCAGGTTGCCTTGATTTTTTTGGGAGGGAAAAGGCCTTGTGCCTCTGCCAGGGAACATTCCCTGCAACCAGGCGTCTGCTGCTCCCTGAAGGCCTCTCCAAATACCTGCTTCTTCCTCTTCCAGCACAAGCTCTGGCTTCCAGCCAGTGAGGGGTGCCTGGCTTCCAGGTTCAGAGGGCTCAGCTCAGCTGCACAAGAAATAACCCCTTCCTAAAGCTGCAGATTTTCTGGGGCCCCTACAGACTCTGCACCCTGCTGACTCCAAGAGCTAGACCTTTTCCGGGGGAGGGGGACAGAAACTTACGTAACCCAAGAGCTATAATTTGCCAGAGTGTGGTAACACTCTTCTCCATCTGTTCCAAAGAGAACCTGCCAGCCCTGCCTGGGGTGGGCAGGAATGCTTTGAGAGACCCTGAGAGGATCCAGAGGGCCATGGTCGGCATTCCCGCAATGCCTCCTTGCAATTGTATCTCTGCTGTTCACGGCAGCTGCCTGGCCTGGGATAAAGGCTAGAAGCAGTCAGACGCTGGTTTGAAATAAGATAGCTGCAACAATGGGAGCTGCTGGCAGGGAATTAGCTAGGAAGAAGGCCAGAGTTATGTAGATGGAGAGTTTTCACTGGAGGATAAATGTAAATGCAGAGGCTGAATGCTGACTTAGTGGAGGGGGGTGGGTGAGAGAGACTGATTTAAAAAAAAATAAAAATTAAAATAATAATAATAAAGGCATCCAGCGTGAAACACCAAACCAGCTGGCAGCCAGCACAAAGGCTACCCAACAGAAATAGAAAATGCATCTGGTGTCACCCAGAGGCAAAGCTAAGAAAGGTTTCTGTGGGCAAGGTTTTCTAGAGAAGGGAGTTTGGTTGTAGCAGGTCATCCAGTGCCATGTCCTGTCTCTACATGGCAGGTACCTGGGTAAAATACAAGAACAGCGTAAGCATTAGGCAATATATCCCCAGGACACTACCCCAACCACCTGGGACTTGTGATTCTGGGACTTCTCTGACAGACTTCTTAGAGGGACTGAGGGGCGTATTTAATAGTATGAAATTAATTTTTTCTGAATACAGACAAACCTCTGACAACCAGACACTCCTGTGGCACCAACTCTCCACTGCATCCATGCTGTGTGAAGGAGAGTCGTGGTTAAGCCTGACAACTGTAAGTTTCCCTCAATGCCCTCTACTTTTTGCATGGAGACAGCAAGTGAATCCAAATCTGCCTTCTCCAGACCATTTGCTGTTTTACAGACCCTACTAAAGCTCTCTCTCTGGCTTCTCTTTCAGGCTGATAGTTTATACTATCTATCTGTTCCAGGTACAGAAGCCAGTTTGTACTGTGGATGTTGTCACTTTCTCCTGGGCCTTTTCCAAGTCTTTTAAAACCAGAGGACTGGAACTGCAAAGAACACTCAGGTCATCATGGATTTATAGCAGCATCATTCATATTTGCTTCATCTCCTTTCCTAGGAACTGATGGACTTGCTTTCTTATACCGTTGAACACTTCACAGGATTATCTCTCTCAAGATTTTGTTCCTGAGTGATATTGGTGAGCTCAGAGTAGATAATCATAGATAGATAATTCTTCATAGTTTTTTATTTTCTTTCTTAGCCTGAATAACCAATTGTTATTACCAAACACACCACTTTTCACCACTTCTCCAGGTGATTTATGGCAATAAAGAGCAAGCACTGGAATGCCCTACAGGAATCCACTGGATCTACCTGCTGTCAAAACCACCAGTCTTGTTCCTATCGTTTCACTTTAGGAGTTCAGTAAGTATATAGATGGGAGGGTGGGGAGGGAGGGTGTCCCTCTTGCTTCAGGTTCCTGAGGCTAATTAACAGCTTTCAAGGTGGAGACTCTACCAGGTACCTTCTGAGAATTCCAGTAGATTCAAGGAGATGGATCTCTCTTCAACTTCTCAACAATACTTCTCAGCTATTTGTTCACTTTTTCAGAGATTTCCCATCTGTTTATAAAGCCAAGGGAGCAGTCTCATCCCAGCTCGTGGTCTGTATGCTGGTGAGGGTGTATCAGAAATAAATGACTGTGATCTGTTTTCTCTTGGAGAAACAACATCCTAAATCTGGTAAGTTGCTCTGTTCAAAAGGATGACACACAACTTTGGGTCTCCAGCTCAGGAAGTTTCTGAGATCTCACTGAGATGTTCAGTTACTTGCAGATAATTCTTTCTTAGCTTCATTTGTGCATTTATTTGTTTATTAAGTCACAGATCACATTGTCAGTTAGAAAAAATGACCTTTTGTAAACTGCAGAAGATATTTGACTGGTGAAACACACTGTGCTCCCATTTCCAACCCGGTGGTGCAGTGGCCCTCAGCTGTCATTCCCAAAACAGGTGCTGTAAATCAATACCCTGGTGGTTATATTTTGGCAGCACCCTGGCAGGAGGCAGCACAGCCCTCCTCTGAACAGACCTTAAAGGTGCTTTGTGCGTGCCTTCATCTGTATGACTGCAGCAAGAGGGAGCTGGCATGATGAAGGTCCATCACATTCTCCTCCTCATTTCTGCAGGTAAAGGTGTTCCAGCCTTGAAAGGGGGTCATCTCTTTCCTGAGTGTGTGGGATCAGGGCTTTGCATATACATCAGTATGAGCAAATGTGTTCTGTGAGTAGCCTGTCATATTGATAAAGTTTTATGAGCACACCAAATAATCTAAAGGAGAGCTTTGGAGTGTGTTAGCAGCAGCTCAGATATTTGTAATTTCAGGTACAAGATATTTTGAACGGAGAAGTTTCTGTGTTTAATTGTTTTTCTGGTTTTGTGTTTAATTGCTCCCATCTACCCTAGTGCTACATGTATTTCAAAATACATGAAAGGATCTGTTTAGCATGGCTTGGAATGTAAAAAATCATTACAAGAAATTTCATTATTTTGTGGGATGATTGATAAAGAGGTTAAACTGATTTGCAGCTATCTGTGTTGTATTAAGATAATTCTTTTTAAACTATCCCTTAAAACAATAACTATTTTGTGATCCTGAAAGTTTTTTACCAAATTCAAGCAGTATACTAAATTTCTACCAAGGTACACCAGAAGGGGGCAATTTTAATCGGATTAATAAAGCATAGCAAAGAGTTTGAATTAGATGTGATGCTGGGATCATAACTTAAAAATTGAAAGATGACTCCTGCCCACCGTAGCTCAGCCTTCCTGGCTGGGGAAGAAAGCAGCGCCTGCCTGTGACAGGCTTTTCTCATTGGCATCCAAGTATTTTAATATAATCTCATGGCAGGACAAGGCCAAGACAGACTCCTTGGAAATCTCAGCTATATAAAAGCTGAGAAAAGCTGTATAAAGTCAGTTAGGAAACAAGGGTAAATCTTGGCTTAGGTTGGAGTCAACACCAAAATTCTTGTTGACTTCAATGGCCCAGGATTCAGCAGAGAGGGGGAGGCAAGGGTGGGATCTGCCAAAAATGCTTGCAGCAAGGATCAACTGTTCTGTTCCCTCTCACTACGTTTAGGAGGGGATACATACAAAAACAGTCCCAAGCAGCCCTTCCCTTTGCTTTACTCTCCTGTAACAGTGAAGCAGCTACAATCTGAGCACATCATGTACCTGCTTGTTCTGCCACAGGCTCTCTCAAAACGGGGTCTGTCCGTTTTTCTGTGCCCTTGCTCCTCGGGAGTGCAATGCCATGCACAGACACTGTGAAGGTTCCACTGGAACAGAACTGCTCCCTGCCATTTTCACTTGTGATGTTTTTCCTACCATGGCTCTTTGACACAGCGCTGCCAAGTCACACTGAGCAGTCTGTGGTAGAGCTGTCCACAGATAGGCTGAGACCTCCCCTGAGGAGAAAGAAATAGAGCCCACATAGTGAATGGTTTTCTTCTCTCACCACCTGCACAACCTGAGCAACTCCCATAGGGGAGAGGAGATCTTGTTCTGCTCAGATTGCAGATGCAAGGAGTCTGGGTGGTGATTTCATCTCAGTGACTGGTGTGCTTGGCCCTCTCCTTTGATGTTACTGTCACAAGCAAGTCTGTGGAACAGAAGATAGAGAAGCCAACATTAGAAATCCCTGATATCGTGTATTCTCTCTGCTTAACTGTCCACAAGTACTGCATGTTAGCACAGCTGCAGGCTGGAAAATCCTGGAGGAGATTTCTAATGGTCAGTCAGATGTCCACAATCCTGGCTATTTGGTTTTGTTCATCTCCTGGCTGGAGGATGCTGTTGCCTTCAACCCCTAAACTGTACCCAAATCAGATAGGCAGTTACCCCCACTGATGGCATTTGCAGTGCACACAGTGCATGTCTGAAATGAGGAGTCACACGGGGGACTTGGTGTCATCCCGCAGCAGCAGCTTGGTGCTGTCAGTGTTTCCTTCGTGCCCACCTCAGACTGATGGTGCCGTAGCCTGTTCCCTGCCCCATCTCACTGGTGCCACCCCTGCTGTTCTGCAGCTGGGCTGACCCTGTGCTACGAACACGAGACTCGCCTTGTTGAGGACTTGTTCAGGGACTACAACAAGGTGGTGCGCCCAGTGGAGGACCATCGGGACGCCGTCGTCGTCACCGTCGGGCTGCAGCTCATCCAGCTGATTAGCGTGGTACGGTATGAACGTGCGGTACATGTTGATCAGCTGGCTTACGTGATAATGCCAAACAGTGGGGTTTTTTTCTAAGAAAACAATTTTTCTTCTTTAATTCTGTTTGCTGTTACTGCCTTCTTTTTGTTTTTTCTTCCTTTTTTTTCTTTCTTTTTTTTTAAGGATGAAGTAAATCAGATTGTGACAACCAATGTACGCCTGAAACAGGTAACTCTAAATATTCTCAGCCATTTCATCCAATTCAAATAAATGCACTGGACACAGCTGGGAATTAATTGCTCTGTTATACTTTCAGGGGCAATTTGGATGGGTGGGATCAGCTAGCAAAGCATTTCTTCTTTCTGGGGTCTCGAGAATAAAATGCTTTAGACACTAAGAGTCTTAAGAAAAGCATTTTGCATTGTATTTCAAATAATAGGCTTCCAATATATTTTTCTTTTTTATTATTTTCTTTTTGATTAATTTTTTTTCTATATAAGTTTCTTAAACCAAAATTTAAATTAATGAAAAATGAGCTGGGAGTCCCACTCCCATATATTTATGCATACCTGCGTATTCCAAAGCAAGGGAGGTGTTGTTTCTAGGAAGTACGAAAACTATCCCCAAAAGTGCTAGAAGAGGTTTTCAGGGGCTGAAATCTTCCCTCTTTAGCAATGGACAGATGTCAACCTCAAATGGAATCCAGACGACTATGGTGGCGTGAAAAAGATCCGCATCCCTTCGGATGATATCTGGCGGCCAGACCTTGTTCTTTACAACAAGTAAGGGGTGCCAGCTGCCTGGGGAAGGAGGGTGGGAGGGGGTGCTCTGCCCCATGGCACCACTCTGGTGGGGCAGTTTTCCCACAGCACCTGGTCCACTGGGTATTATTTCTCAGAGCAAGCTTCTCCAGGAGAAGGCACAATGGCACTGGGGGACCAGCTGACCCACAGGCAGAAATCCTGTTGTGACCTTGTCAGTTATGCTGCCCACATGGCTGTTAATGTCCTTGTTCCTTTTGCAGTGCAGATGGTGATTTTGCCATTGTAAAATACACCAAAGTCCTGCTGGAGCACACAGGTCTGATCACCTGGACACCACCGGCTATTTTTAAGAGTTACTGTGAAATTATAGTCACGCACTTCCCATTTGACCAGCAGAACTGCAGTATGAAGTTGGGAACTTGGACGTACGATGGGACAATGGTTGTTATTAACCCAGTAAGTAAGGAGTTTGTAATTGGGAAAAGCAGTAAAGACCTGGGTATGCTCTTGGGGAAATCTCAGATTAGTTTTGACTGGAAAAACAAGCAGGCACTACCTGTAAAATAGAAGAGCTCTTTTTGTAGATCTAGCACAGTATTTCCTGGTTCGGTTTCTAAAATTCTGTGTGCATATAATTCCTGGGCCACAACAGTCTCCTACCTGTTTGTCCTCTGTCATCTTCACACTGCTCCTTATGGTGCTGCCTGTCCTGCCTCTGTTTGTTTTCTTGGGTTTTCTGGGGGGCTGCATTTTCTCTGCTCATGACTTTCCATTGCCAAGGACTCTTTCCCTGGCCCCTCAGGTACACCTCCTACCTGTAATAATTATTCAGTCTACTGTCCCTGACTGTAAAATGCTGAGTTGAATGCTGTGTAGAGGCTGATATTCTAAGGCAATATAACACAGACAAGAGTGATTTGCTCACAAAAAATCATAAAGTGCCTGAGTTATTTGGAATCCTGTTCCTGAGCCAAATATGCTAAGTTTTGATTTGGTTCAGAACATCTGGTATTGAGAATTTTTTGGGGATTTTGCTGCCAGGAGAGTGATCGTCCAGATCTGAGTAACTTCATGGAGAGTGGGGAGTGGGTGATGAAGGATTACCGTGGCTGGAAGCACTGGGTTTATTATGCTTGCTGTCCTGACACCCCTTACCTGGACATCACCTACCACTTCCTCATGCAACGCCTGCCTCTCTACTTCATCGTGAACGTCATCATCCCCTGCCTGCTCTTCTCCTTTTTAACAGGGTTAGTTTTTTACCTACCCACAGATTCAGGTACGTAAATTTATTCATTCCACTGCCATAGAAATTGCTCTTCTAACAAATTCCTGAGAAATTCATAGTATTTGAAATCACTAACCAGCCTGAAGGCCAGTGCACACAGAAAGTGGACATTTCCACTGAAAGCAGTGGCTCTCAATATTCTGCAAAGAAAGGATAAGTGCCAAAAGCTGAAATTATTAATAGAAATAATTTGGGGGCTTTCCCTCAGAAATTGCTAATTAACTATCCAGTTAACTTCTGCAAACCAAAGATTTAGCTGGTTAACTTTTATGTTTTGCCATAGATAGGTAGTCAGGGTGTCAGTATGTCATGCAGTAAGTGAGCACATAAGGGTGACTGAGGCCCTTCTGCATCGTGTTAGAGCAGAGAGCTTGTTATCTTCTCACACACATTACCTCGTGTGACACGAGAGTAATCCTGGCCTATTCTGGCCTCCTTTGTCACTGCTGAGCAGCTTGTGCTCCCTGCAACCATTTCCTCTGCTTCATTCATTTTGCCTTTTGTCAGCTTTTCATAGTGCTTAATTTTAGTAAGTCCCTTTTTATGAAATATTTGATGCATTTTTTTTTTCAGTGGAATACTTTCTAGAAAGTTGAACTGGATAAAAAAAATGTGTGAAGAATGTTTTGTGGTTCATTTTTGACACCCTACCTACTGGGAGATCTCAAATAGCAACTGACCTCTGGTGTAATATGTGACTTTTTTTGTCTGCCCTCTCAGCCCAGAGTCAGAGAACAAAGCAAGCAAGCTCCCAGGAGGCTGTGGAGCAAGAGCTAATTAGGTGTATATACTGCATTGTTCAAAATACACAGCCCTGGCAAGTAATGAAATGCTCCTGGCAAGTAAGCTTTCCATATCCCTCACCCACACTTCAGCCCAGCCATACCAGTAATTTCCACCTCACTGCTGGAGCTGACACTCTGTTAGGCTCTCAGCTTTGTCCAGCCTAGTTACTGTTTTGGATGCTGGCAGAGACCATAGCACTCCAAATGCACACCTGTATTTGTGTGAACAGCTATCATCCACATCCTGGATCTTAAATAAATAATACTCTCTGTACTGGATGATAGGAGCAGCAATGGTATTATCTTTTTATGTTTGTTTTGTTTTCATGGCAGGTGAGAAAATGACTCTCAGCATCTCTGTCCTGCTGTCTTTGACTGTGTTCCTTCTGGTCATTGTGGAGTTGATCCCCTCCACCTCCAGCGCAGTGCCTCTGATAGGCAAATACATGTTGTTCACAATGGTGTTTGTCATCGCTTCAATCATCATCACGGTCATCGTCATCAACACCCACCATCGCTCCCCAAGCACTCACACCATGCCACACTGGGTCAGGAAGGTGAGCTCTATGGCTTTGCATGTTTGCTGGTTTCTACTGAACGCTCCATATGTTATTGGCAGGCTTTCTAATAGAAGTCAACAAGAATTGGGGAAGTAAATGCATTATGTTAAATGTCTCTAGGCACAAGAGCCGGTGTTTACTACTTAGCTGTGCATAAAGTTAGCAGGACTGCTAAAGTGCTCCCATAAGTAACAAAATTGTCCACTGGGGTAGAGTCTTGTGGGCAACAGATAAGATAAAACATGGGCAGCTGAAGGTACATGGAAAAGAAAATATCCATCTGGACTCATATGACATTTCCTGGTCTAATTCTCCTTCTGATTGCAAAGCACTGCTGCCTGCCAGTGGCCAAGTCCCTGGCCTGCATCACTGCTGAACACAAAGGCCATTGGGAATACCTGAGTTCAACACCCATTTTGCAAAAGACAGTTTAGCAAAAGCTAAGCAATCTTCTCTGTACTTTTCCAGTATACAGCTGCTCTGCAGCCCTTGGGAAGAGAGGAGATCCTTGCACAAGAGTCTAGATGGTAACCACAAGATGTAGAAAAAATTGGTTGTCTGTCATTACAAGTTCTTTTCCAGAGAGATAGCACCAAAAATTACCTATCTGTTCAGTAATTCTTGCCTTTCTGAAGCCTGCCTGCATTCATACTAAACCGTGAACTGAAAGGGGATTGTTCCGTGTATCTGTAATTATATAAGGCTACAGCTTATATCAGATCCTTTTGCAGAAAAACAATCCCTGCAGAAGTGACATTTCAACAGGCAAACAGAGCATGTGCTTAACATTGCTCTGGCAGCAAGCCTCTGTCACTCCCAAGGAATTTACTGTAAGCCTTATATGCATGTATAGCAAACATTTATAGTGGGAATGTCAAATGTAAGTAGCCAAAAGAGGTTCTTTGTAGTCCATTCTTCAAGTCAGATTTGTAAGCAATATGTTTCAAATTAGATGAGACGAACAGAGCTCTGCCAGCTCATGCTAGCTGAGGATCTGCTCCAGAGCATCGCTTCCCGTTCATGTGTGGATGTTGGGTGTATGGTAGGGGGAAACGGTTTAAAGAAAACGTGTGGCAGGCCTGCGGGTGACTCCCTCTGCCTCAGGGCAGGAGGCTGACAAAAACCCCACTGTAACTGAGGCGTGGGCTGTGACATATTCCAAGAGGGAATCTGTAGCAGATCCAGCACGGGAAGCAATCTGGGAGCAGAGAGGCTTGTCTTTGTTCAGCACACAGCTGCATCTGTAACACAGCCCCACAGACCAGCAACTCTCATCTTCTCCCTCTTTGTTTTCAGATCTTTATTGACACAATCCCAAACATCATGTTTTTCTCTACAATGAAAAGACCATCCAGAGACAAACAAGACAAAAATATTTTTGCAGAAGATATTGATATTTCTGACATTTCTGGGAAGTCAGGCTCTGTGCCTGTCAACTTCTACTCCCCGCTTACCAAAAATCCGGATGTGAAAAATGCTATAGAAGGAATCAAATACATTGCAGAAACGATGAAATCGGACCAAGAAGCCAGTAATGTAAGAGATTTTTTTTGTGCATGATTCATTTCTAGCTTTCAAATTGCTACATCTTACCTTTTTGGCAAAATATCCCTGCCTTACGGAAACACTCCAAGCCCTGATTTGGCTTTAGCAGTAGACAGTCTTCTCCCCTTGATGTAGTCAACAAGGAGGGACAGATGTTTGTCACAAATGGTAATTGAATATTGGCCCCCCAAAATAAGAGAAAGGAAAAAAGGTGTCAGTACTAAGGACTACTAAATGTGGTATGTGAAGCCACAGAGATGGAGTGTTGTGAGTAGGAAAGTAGTTTCAAGAACTGTAAGCAAGTTCCAAAACACATTCCTCCTGTCTCCCACTAGGGTATCTTCCCTCTGTGGTAAGCAAGATCCTACTGCTTTTGAAAAACCAGGAAGCAAGCCAAACTCCAAAAGACTAGTAGTTTTATCTGAAAAGTGTTAAATGTAACTTACAGATGATGATTCCAGTTTTGATAAGGTTTTATTTTATTCCTGAATGTTACAAGTAGTTGCTCCAAATGAAGTATGTCATGAGCTACTCTGATTACTGACTTTTTCCACATTGCAAGCCAAAGGAAGGATAAAAGCATATAGAGTCACACATGGCAGTGTTCCCCAGGAAAATCTAGCTCTGCCTCCTCCTAGCACATTCAACACAATTAACCCCTCTTTTACTTCAGCTTCACATCTCACACAGCTTTTGCAGAGGTAATTCAGTCTTGGCACTTCACCTTTCTAAATGGTCATAGTCCTTTCCTGTTGGGCTGCAGGCTAGCCTGAAGACAGAGCAAGTTCTCTGAGAAAATAATTTGGCCTATGCACTTGAAAAGGAGGCATTTCCTTCCCGTGGACAGGATTTACACCACGGTGTTTCTTCCTGTGACCAAATTCCTGGAGCATGTGGAATGACTCTGGCTGTAGTCTCATGTTCAGCATGACTCCTATGCCCCTCTGCAGATAAAGTGTTATTCTCAGCAGGGCTGGCATGGCTTCAGCATCCATGGGCCTCACTTCCTCCTAGGATTACAAGGAGGATCTTCAGGTTACCAGTAAGTGCCCTTTTTGGAAGTGGAGCCCAGACACTTGTGTCATCTGGGCACTGTTGATATCACTTTCAGGGGGTTTCAAAAGTCAAGTTCCCCAAATGAAATGAAAGTTGTGGCTTCTGAAGGCTGTTGCTTCATTGTGTTCACTTCTGAACCACCTCAAACCACTATTAGTTATCAGTGTCCTCTAGGTAATTACAACAGGCTCTTCTACTTGTGGGACAACCAAGACAAAAGTAGAAGGTGCTTTAGGCCAGCGTGTGTCACTCCTTAAAGCAGAGTTACAGGGTGGAAATCCTGAGCCCTGCTGTACTTGGTGCCTCACACTCTGCTCAGTCTTATCATTCTGGGTTCCCAGCAAAGGCATGCAGTGAAAAGGCAGTCACAGAGTAAGAGGTTCACAGTGTCCCACAACTGGAAAAAAGACTAAGGGAGCTACCAAGAAGGTTTTAGAACCTTAGCATATATACTAGGCATGGAAAGCAGAGAATAGAGTGAAATTAATGGAAATTGCCTAGATATCCCATGAGAAGGAAAACACAATGGAAAAACCAAAATCAGTTGGGTCAAACTAAAGATTTTGCTTTCAACAGCTTAAACTCCATTTCGAAAGCAACTATTGGCCTAAATATCAAGCTTTTCAACGTTTTTTTAAATGAAAATGTTCAGCAAATTGCCAGGGTTTCTGATCAGTTTGGTATTGAAACTTCTATTTGTAAGTTGCTTAGGCTTTCTTAACCACTGACCTGCTTTTGAGAATTTTTTGCATAGCAATAATGAAACTTATAGAAGAACCTTCCCATTGTTCAAGACAGTAAATTAAAAGAATGCCCATAATAAACATGGCTGTGCAGAGATTTTACCATCTCCTTTGCTTCTTTCACAGGCTGCAGAAGAATGGAAGTTTGTTGCGATGGTGCTTGATCATCTTCTCCTTGGCATATTTATGCTAGTTTGTTTTATAGGAACATTAGCTGTATTTGCTGGTCGACTTATTGAATTAAATCAGCAAGGATGAATGTGAGCTGGAAACTATTTACTACCCTGAACATCTGAAAGCATTGTAACCATCAAAATCTGGGCAGCCTCTGAAAGTTTCACTGACAGGAATCAGTTCCTGCTGGGAAAGAGCAGGGATAATAAAATGTAAGGCTCCATACTTAGCACTTTTGAGCTGCTGCTCAGTGGCATTTCATTGCCAAAAAGAAACATTTGCATTATTGGTGAACTTGAATGGCTGTCAGCCAGATTTTGATCCATTTTACCATTTATTAAAAATGTTGATGTTTTAATAAGACTGTCTGACTTTGCAAGCAACAGATACAATTCCAGTGAAGTCAACAGCAGTGTAATGAGCTTTAGCTGAGCTGTAAATCTGTATCCAACTTTAGCATTCGAGCTGGTTTCAGTATCTGCTCCGTTGCTTTTGTTTTGGCAGGGTCCAAATTACTCCTCTCATAACATCAGACATATCTCAAACTCCATGCTTACACACTTGATTTTCATGCACAAATCTGAACTGACTGTCACGCGTGATTCTACCTGTAGAAACTCTTGCTGCAGAAGAGACTTACTTGTTCCTTACTGTGGAAAAGATTGCTATTCCTAGGATAATCCCTATATTAAACCTACTCTGCTCTTGGAAGGTTGGTTTCCACTCTTCATTTTGAGTGATGAGTAATGTGGCGGCACCTTCAACCTTGGTGTGTTTATCTTAAACACAATTCTCTGTTTCCTGAAAACTGTCCCCTGCCCTGCTGAAATAAATCGTGAGCATTAACTTCAGACACAGCAGCACACAGATCATTCCTGGGGAAGGCGTGGATCTCAGCTGTACTTATATACGACAAAAATGACAGGACACCTCCTCTTCTGAGCAGCAAAATAATTATCCAAACTTCATCCAAAAGTTGAGCAGCAGCTCACTCTGGTGGCTAAAGCAAAGTAGTGCTGCTTTTGGCCAAAGCCCGCTGGGGTCAGTGAGAAAGAAGCCTCTGTGTATTTCAATAGTGCGGTGTGGCAATACTAGCAGTGCTGCCTATTTTTCTCAAAAATAAATAAGGAGAGGTGGGGCAACTGCGACAAGTTACTCATCATTCCCAGCTGCTTGTCCAAGCCAAGAGGACTACTTAGCTAACAGCTGTAAATAATTTGCTGTGAGTTTAATAAAATAATTTGTGTTATATTAATGCTCTACAGGAATGTGTCATGCTTGCAGAGGACAGGCATTGGAAACACTGTAGGGAAAATGAGGCACTTGTGCAACGCTCCCATCATTGCGTAGTGTTTGCTGGACAATGTTTTGGCAAGATGCAGTCCTAAGCAAACAGTTTGTCTGAGGCAATTGATCACTTGTAGCACTCTGCTCAGCTCTTATGTTTTAAAGGATGGTAATCTTTGCCTCCCTGGATGATCATTAACCTTGTGAACGATTGCTGAAGATGTGTGCTGGGCACAACCTCTGCTGACAGAGGGAGTGTTTGCTGCAGCTTGGTTTATCTTTAGTTTGAATTCCCAGCTCTCAGCCCTTGGGGGGAGTCAGGTTAGGTCCCTGCTCACGATGAGATAAGCTGCAGCATCGTGGTGCCTGGAATTTAATTTGGGAGCCTGTGAGTGGCACTAAAACTGACAGAACAATCCTCTTAGAGCAGCATGTGGTTGAATCTTAGCATTAAAAATAAACATCAAGTAATAAGATTCACGGTGAGCATCCACAGTATCTTTATTCAGCTTCCCCAAGGCAGATCTGGGTCTTGGCCTCCTGATTCCCCTTATGTGTGTGCCAGGGTGAGTGCATGCACACGTGTGCCTGCCTGCTTGCTTCTCCAGCTCTCTTCACACCTACCAATATTTTCCTTCCTCTTCTCCAGAAAAAGTTTTGAAATAATTTATTCAAAATTTTTCACTTGTGATGGCTTAATTTGTCTTATAGGCATAGCAAATCTTCTGCCTTCCCATCACTCTGAGTCTTGATGAACTACTTGTGTCTCAAAAGATGTGACACCAGGCAAAACTAAATGCTAATAAACTTCCCTTCTTAGGTTGCAGATTCCGGGCATTGTACTCTGACTCTCCAAACAGAAGGTTCTCCAAGCATCAATAAGCACACTTATTCTTTTTTTTTTTCTTGCTTTGCTTTGAATACTTAGACTGTACCAGCCTCTATTTTCAGTTCCTAGATCACCTTTGTGATACATTTCTCTTGTAAAGCACTTGTTTACTAGTAACATCCTCTGTTACCAGTATCCATCTACTAAAAGAGTACCCTTACCTACATGTAGACTATTTCTTCTCAGTTACTACTGTCCTTTTGCCACGTCAGTACCTGATAAACTAGTAGCTTTGGAGATTTCAAGTGTTCTGTTACGGTCACAGATAATTTGCTGTCAATGTGTAAGTATGTGTTGTCTAATGATTTCTCATTTACAGCACTGTAGTCTCTCCCTGCAATCTTAACACTAAACTCTCCTCTCTCCTGCATGGGTAGAACCAGCAGCCCCAGAGAGACGTGACCCTGGTTAATACTCATGCAACCCACACATGCATCTCTGCTGCCTCATTGCCTTAAACAGGCACATTTCAGCTCTGAGCTTCAACTAACAATTCTCATGATAAGTAAAAGAAGAAGCAGGCCTCACACACTCATTGCTAAATTTCTCTAATAAGTATAAAAAGTAATGACATGGAAACAACACAGTGCTGAAGTAAGCAGACTTTATTTAAATGAAGGTAGACCAGAAGCCACTGGGTGAGAAGGTGTTGCTTTTATAGTGATAGTACCCTAAGCAGTTAACTAGTCCCTCTTTTTGCTGCCATATTCTTGCTACTAAAGCTGCTTTTGTTTAATTTGAGCATGTTGATAACACTCTATTTATGTCCTTAATAGAATAGCTTTCTGGATCATCTCCATCTTTTTCATTCTGTTTCTCTTTCCAATTTTTAATCTATGTGACAGTTACCTTTCCCCTTCCCACCCCTTTAGCTCACCTTCAGCTACTCTCTACTGTGCCATGGATATGCTGCTCTCAGAGATGCAGTCATCTTCAAATCTTTCCCCTCTGGTACTTTGCTCTTCGAAAGACCTAACCTTTCTGAGGAGGTTATTTGAGTTTTTAAAGTCCATTACCTTGTGCCAAGGGAGCAGTTTCACCTCTGTGTGAGTCTGTAATCAGAACAGGCTGCTGCTCTCCATCATCACCAGACAGCTCAGCTGAACCCAATGTCCTTATTCTGTCTATTCAGCCAGTAGGATCTTGGCTTTGTAAAATGGAGTTCAGCTAATCAAGAGAGAGAACAGAAAAATGACACTCACTGAACTCCAGATACTTGATTATGAGCTTGTGTGTGCCAGGTGTGATCATTCACCTGCCACGTGCTTGGGTCCTTCAGCCTCCTTCAGTTTGAGCTTTTAAAAAGTCAGGTTATTGTTTCAGGCAATTGTGAGATAATTTAAGTACTCATTTTGTGCTCCAGGATATAAGTTGCTGCCAACCTCCTTGCTCTCCTTGCTGTGGTCATCTCTCCAGAGATGTGTGAAAGCAGTGTGAGTTTCATCAGCATGCTGACTCAGCAGTTCCTGTTTCCACAGCTGAAGCAAACCACAGCAGGTAGGGGCAAGAGAGAGTACGAATAACACAGGACCCGCAAAGTGCATGAACACTATGCTGCTAGTGGAGAAAGGGAGCACATTATCTCCCTGATAGTTTAACACATCAGAAATACTTTTGACTTTGGACACTTTTAGAAGGTTGCTCTCCTTGAATCCAGTCACAAGACCTCACCTTCTCATATGTTTACTAGTGCTAGATAAAGTCTAGCACAGCCTCCAGGCCCCTAGGCATGCTTCTGGGTATAAATTTTCTCCCTCTTTTTCTTTTAAAAACTGTGAAACCAAAACAAAGTCTCCTAAGCTTCTCTCAGCTGAATGTTGCACAGACAGACTTCTAACAAAACTCTGGAGTACTTTCTCTCTGGAAATCAAGTCCCAACCACAGAAAGGGCAATCGTGCACTGCTTTGAAAAAGATTCTCTAAAATAAATATACTTCAGTCCCTGATAAAGTGTAAAAGACTGACACAGCTATGAAAAAAATCCAACTTCCAGGCAAGCATTTCCGTGCTCACTGCAAGAGTCCTGCCGAGTACCCCTGGCTGTAGATGGGTTGTCTACAGCAAGGACAGAACAATTTCATTGTTACCATGGACAGGCCAGCCTGACCAGCAGGAAACAGTCCAAAGGAATTCATAGGCTACTGTGAACAGTACATAATACAGTGATAATGGGCCACTCAGTGGACTCCCCATAGAGGGACAACTGTTTCCTAGCAAGAGTGGTCACCGTTTCCTGTCATCCCAGCACAGATTTCCCATTGCAGCACATCTTCCCAAGTTCTAACAGCCAGATCTGTATCAGTGTGTGCTTCTTATCCCATACGGAGCCTGGAATGAACACATCACATGGTATTTCTCTGGTACGTAAACAAGAGGAAGCTGTTTGCCTCTAAGTGACTTTTCAGCTAACCAATGACCCAAATGCAGTATGCTGTGCTTGGGAACCTCATGTGGATTTGTGACCCTCTTTAGAGAGTTTTGGGTCTGTAAAGACAATAAACACAGACTACCTGCAGTTTTACTATTTGGGAGCACCATAATTTTTGCTCTACACTGTGTGCATGGGTCAGAAAGGGGTACACATAAAAAAAATTTTACCAGTTTTTGTGTTTGTCTTGCAATGCTCCAACCATGCAGTGACACAGGAACAGAGAAATGACCTATACAAAAGCCTGGCAAGGTTTCCAACGTAACGCTGAAGGCTGATCAGTAATGCCATTGCTCTTATGACAGCATGTCACACCATAATGCTGTGCCTTTAGGCAACTGCTCATCTCCTGGTGGAAACATGAAAGTAAATTGCAGCAGGTTAGCTTAGTACACGGGTTACTCAGTCTTTGACCTTGCTGGAACATGTTGCTACAAGTGAATGAAGAGCATATTTAAATTTTTTAGGACACCTGTCCCTAACATTCATATATTTTAGATAACAGTATTATATAGCTGCTGGACTGCACCCTGCCCATGCATGGAGTAAACAAAAAACATCCCAACACCTCCAAAATGTAAAATCCTACAGAGACAAAAACATGTGAGATCAATGTGTTGGCTCAAATAGACACTAAGGACACAGCTCTTGCCCTTCAACCCTTGCTTCTTATATGCACAAGCTACTCCATTACATATACTTTGGGCATTTTTCCATTCAAAACCTCAGTGCTGGACCCAAAAAGATTAACAGAAATTTTGTTTCTAGAAAACTTAGTCAAGCTGAGAGGGGAAAGGGAGCAGACTTGATTGGTTCTCTGGTAAAGCAATCTCTGTGTGAGTTAATTGAGGAATGAAGCACAAATACCTTCTGGGGCATCATGTAGAGAGGGGTAATTGACCTTCCTACATCTCAGTATACTGCAAACCTTAACAGAGAAAAAGCAAGTACCTCTTTCCCACTGTTTTATTACGTTTCTGCTCCACTCTGTGTGTCTCTGCCTGCTGCCTTGCCATTCCCCAGGCTCCACTACCCCTTCCCTGCTGGCTGCCATCAAGGCCATCGGAGGCAGGTAGGGAAAACGAGAGTTTTGTGGCCGAGTGGAGCCGCGTGAGCAGGGCTGAGAGGAGCCCTGTGCCCAGCCTGAGGGCGGGCGGCTGTCCCGGAGCAGGGCAGGGGCTGGGGCTGTCCCTGCGGAGCAGGGGAGCCCAGCGCATCACTGCCCTCCGGCGCTCCCGAACAAGGGGGCAGCGGCGGCCAAGAGGGCACGGAAGGCAGGAGCTGCCCCTATGGGTGAGGCCATGACCGGGAAACCGGTGAGGGTCTGAACGGGACGAGTCCCCGAAAGAGCTCCCAAAGTCACGGTTCAGGCCGTTGGCACTTGGGGACCTGGACCCGTCTCCTTGTAAGGGGGGGCTACCTCTGTAACTCTGACCGGTGTGATCTCCCACTGGGCACAGGAGGAGCGCGGCTGCGGGCGGGGCACGGCCACCACCAGGCTCCCTCGCTGCCCGGGCGGGACCACCCTGCGGGAGCCTCCCCGGGCCGAGGGGCACAGCGCCGGGGGTGGGGGGCAGGGGGCGGGCACCCCCCCTCGGGGGCCCGGCCGGGCCCGGGGCATGTGCGGCGGCGCGGGAGAGGCGCCCCAGAGCCGCGGCGCCGCTTCCTGCCGCTATAAATAGCCGCCCGGCCCAACATGTCCCGGCCGCCGCAGCGGCTGCAGCGCCCGCGGGGCTCGCCGTGCCCTCCCGCCGCCTCGCCCTCACGGAGCGCGGTAAGGGGGCTGGGGACCCCACGGGGCTCCGCTGCCCGGAGCCGGCGGGGCGGGGATCTCCGGGGCGGGCGGGGCCCTGGCGGCAACCGCGCTGGGGCGGCTCGGCTTCCCCGGCCCCGCGGGACCAGCGCCCTCCGGGTACAAGGGTCGGGAGCCGAGTCTCGCTTCGTGCCTGTCTGCTCTTTCTCTCTTTTCTTCCAGACTGCTCTGTCTTGGGCTGGACGCGTTCCTCCTGCCTCCCAAAGCCGTGCTGGCAGGCTGGGATCCCTGCCCGCTTCCCCCGGGGTTGGGTGCGTGCCCGCGGTGCGGGCGGCGGTGGCCTCCGAGCGCAGCCCCCGGCCCCTCTTGGCAGCTCGGACCGTGCCTCTGCCCGGGCAGAGGAGGTGGCTCATGGCATCCTTGGCCATCCCTGCTGAGGCACAGCCGCGGCTGTGGAATCCCGGCTGGCATGGCAGGGTAGGGAGAGCCACACTGGGGCTGTGTCACACGCTGGAGCCGTGGCACACACCGCTGCCCGCACATGTGGCACCCACGCAGGGCATGGTTTTATTTGGTCACACACTCATGCAGGTGTTTGTGTGGCAGCCTTCCTCTCTCAAGTGCTTTCATGTGCAGCGAATGTTAAGGTGGACCTTGTAAGCTTGGCTTTCTGGTAGAGTCAACAAAGCAGGTCTCTACCCTCCGAGTACTCTTGGGGGCTTTTGAAAGGAATCAATTTTGGGAACAGTAAATAGTCTTCAAGTTTTAGTTTGTCTTCCCTTTGTTTGCTTCTGCTACTCTAATGGCTGTGCTTCATCTTTTAACTAGCAGCTCCTGCAAATCAGGATTGTATGCCTCCTCGGAGAGTTGGTGTTCCTCAGCAGCTACCATGTATCCTACCTGAGCCTCCTCTTTAAAACAAAAGTGATACAGCAATTGTCTCTGGCAATAAGGTGTGCTTGTTCAGGAACCCACCGTGAGGTGCTTCTAAATTGCTCCTTTACTGTTGAAGTGCTTTCTCATAGACAGGGCTGTAATAAGCAGCTGTTCTCAGTTGTCTTGACCTCCAGAGAGTGGGCAGCGTGCTCCTTGTTCACACCCTTTTTAATTCTGTCCTTCTACTTTCCCCTCTGTTTCATCTGTCCGTTACCTTTTCCAAGCCCAGCTTGTGAGGACAGTGCAGAGACCCAAGAGGCCATCTGAAAAGAAGAAGTCCTCTCTTAGGACCTGTTTAGCCTCTGTATGTTATCCCCAGTGTGCCCTGCAGTGAAGGCAAGAGGGATGGCAGTGCTGCCCTGGAGGGACGTGCTCTGGCAGTGTACCTTTTCAAGTGCTGTGAAGCACGAGGCAAGCTGAGCTGGCGTGTACTTTCCCCTCTGCTGTGAGGGGAAGGAGCATAGGAGGAGGAAATACAGCTGTTCCAGAGCACTTCTGCCCCATGTGCAGCGGGAGCACGTGAGGGGAGGACACGCAGAAAGGGAGAATCAGGAAGAGAATATGAGAGAGAATCGGGGCGGGGAGTAGAGGAAAGCTACAAATGGAGAGGAAAAGCTTTTTATACGTGCACAAATGTTATTTAAAGACCTGTTTAGCTAGGGAAGAGCAAATATCCTAAAATTGAGATTGTATCTCTTGAATCCCTGTTATTGTTCCTCCAGAAAGCACTGCTTTTCATTCCTTAAGAATTATGTGTCTGTCTATCTCACTCTTCTAGGCTCTTCAGCATCCTCTGACCTCAAGCTGAGCAGGACGTTGCCCTTAGCATCTGCCTGTCAAATGTGTAGTTCTCCATGTTGTACATGAGATGATTATTTCCATAGTTGGTCAAGGAAAGTTTCCAAGGAATGTGAAGCAAGAGGCATGCCAGTTCCTCTGACTGGCCTTGACTGGAGTGCAAGTTTTTTGGGGCAGGGGACTGTGCCCTGGAGGCTGTGGTTATTCTACATGTTACCCTTGTCAGCTTAGGGGTTCCTGCCTCTGCTTCTGTCCCTCCCACACTTCTCTTATGTCTTATTGCTGCTCACCTGTTCCTCCTAATGCTGTGGCAGCTGCTTCAGCCTCTCCCAGTTATTTGTGGGGTTGTGCTGTAAAAAGTGAATTGCTGAAAAGACAGAAATCTGGGTAGGAGGAAAAGGAGAGAGCAGCTACTGCTCTGTCTGTATAGAAGTCCCCTCTCAGCCCTGTGCTGACTCTCCCCTGCCTCCTGCTTTGAGATCCCTCACCCCAACTAATAGGAATTAAAACAGTTGAAGCTCTCTAGCTGAGTCCTAACTAGTGCTGCTGCCTTGCTATTTCTACTGAAATTACATGATTAACTCTCTCCAGCATTAGTTTACTCTTTAAATGGCATCAGGTAGCAAGGTACTGTGTTTGGCAACTGCATTGCTACAAGACTACTAAAACTTTCTCTTTTTTTTTTTTTTTCCTAAGAAAAACAGAGTTATCACAAAATTGCAGCAGGGCTTCAGTGCTTTTACCTGTATAGTACAGTCAGAATTGAAAATGTGCATCTAGAGAAAGATATTTGCTATAGAAGGAGCAATTTCCCACCTGTGACAACAGGTATGATTTTTATATCTGATGACCTCCAGATCCTGAAAAGGCCACTGAGGAGGATGAGAAATGCTAATCCATTTGTGAAGGGAGTGTGCTGCAGAACTGCTCTCTATTACCTACACTGCTGAAAGTTCTAACAGCTATGTAATCTGCCTTGCTTGTATCAACACAAAGCTCCTTTGGAGGGAGAAAAGTGTATGTTGGTGTTGTCTGACAATTGTGAATGAAGACAGAAATACATAGGCTTCCTTTGGAGACACATATATTGTTTTTGGTGTACATGTACAGTTTAGTAAAATGTCTTTATGCAACAGCATTGAGAAGTATTCTGTGCCTTTAACTACATTGAATCTCCACATGGTTAATGGACTTATGTGTCGAAACCATAAAAAATAGTGATGCAACAGAGAGGAGGAGTTCTTTAAAGTTTATGCTTTTGCCAAGGTAACCATATCTGAATTGTGACTTCTTTACAACAGTGAAGTGTTATCAAAATTCAAATTTAATTAAATGCTTTTGTGTTCTTTCTACTGATTTCTCTTATTCTTGGCTCCTATGTGAACCCTTTCTCCTTTTCTTCATGTGGTGCACTCTGAGACTCGGTCTGTGGGATCCCTTAGTCAACAAGAGACTGACTGTCTTGGTTCAAAATCATTGGTACTGGCTGTATTTGAGTAGGGCTGGGGAGACCAGTCTTTGTAAGGTGAGATAGTTAAGTTCTGGGATAGTAGAAGAGATTTTGATAGTACCAGAGAAGAGGAAACTGAAAGTAGCCACAAATCATCAAGGCAGCTGCCTGTCCTGTGTGCAGTTAACACCTACTTGTTTAGCTCCTTATTTCAAAAATTGATGTGAAAATCTGTTATTGAAAAATAACTGCTGAACTGTTAGTTGGCAAATAGCCCAGAAAAGGCATTATTAAAAACTAAATTTAATAAAGATGTCTAGAATTATTTTGTGTGCTTGTGGTGACCAGTATGATAGTGTAGTGCTCTCACGTAGCATCACTACATATGTGCTTATGTCTGGGTATCTGAAGAGGAGGAAGAAGAACATAATGAACTGTTTACTATGTTAGTACTCTGTTGTGATTCTCTGTGAGGGCTCTGTCACTGCTGCTGAGCTGAGAGTGAAATCTGAATAGTAAAAAGATTTTTTTTTTTTTCAGTGGAAATAACCCTGAACATCAAAGCCCTGAAAGATACTGGGGTCACTCTTTAGTCTTGCAAGCGCACAAGTCTGCACGAGCAGCTGTCCTTGGGCTTCATCCAACACAGTTCTCAAAGATCAGTCAAGACTGTCTCTAAGGCTGGACACGCAAGTGGTGGGGGAGCAGTTTCGTCTAAATCTGAGAGATCAAAGGAGTTCAGAATAGAAAGTTTTTCCTTATTCCTGGAAGGAGATAAGCGGGAAGCACAAGGAGTAGTTTGAGAGTCTGTTTTGTAACACTTAACTCAGCCATAACCTCATGAGTGTTCTTCATTTGCATCCATTTACACATGAGTATGCTCTGGAGTTAAAATGTATAGTTTTGTAACTCCTCAAACTACTAATATAGTAGAAGCAAAAGTTTCTAAGATATAATGTGTTTGTGTGGCACCTCATCTTTAATCTCCTAAGTGTATGTGTGTGTGTAGCTTCTGCCATTTCCTTCTTGTAACAAAGTCCATGAGAAGGACCCTTCTGTCTACCAGTGCATGCTTTCATGAGGGAGCTCTCTTTCTCGTTTGAGCTAAAGCTGAGTATGTATCTCCTGCTGAAGAAACTACAGGATATTATTTAATGGGAAGTAATACAGAGGTTAAAATAAATGCTCTTAGCAGTTCAGTGAGCCTGAAATAGCTTGTGCATGTTTCTCTTGTGATAAGTTCAGCAAGTGGGGTGATCCCCTCTTCTTCCCTCTCTTTAATATTTTTGGTGAATGCTGTGCTTGAGTGCTGAAATCCTCTTGCCATGAAGAGCAAGCAGTGTGGAGCAGGCTTCTCTGTATTTTCCTGGCCCCTGACCTAACAGGACCAGAAGTGAACCCTAAGAAGAAATTGCATTCCTCCGCATTGTCCTGCTTCCTACAAAAATTGCCAGTAAGGTCCTTGGTAGGGAGGGTAGCTAACCACTGAAACTGGCTGACCATAGAGATTGTGGAGTTTCTGTTGCTGGAGATGGTCTGAAAACTGGACTGGATAAGGCTTAAGCAATCTGCTCTAAGCCAGGTTAGCCTTGCTCTGAACTAGATGAGATCCAGCAGTTCCTTCCAGCTGGCTGTAGGCTGTGTTTTTGCATTACTGGAAAAGCATGGCTGCTTTTGTCTGTGCCCAGAACATGTGGGAATAAAAGTGGTCTTAAAACATCTGAAAATGGCTTTGAGAAGTCTGAATGAAGACTTCAAAAATTGGAGTCCATAAAGGAGCATAGTGTAAGGAAGTAATTTTGCCCAAAGTCTCATAGCAGCAGGTCAGTAATAGTGA